CCTTGTCTAGTCATACACAGCACCCAGCGTTTCTTCCAGCATTCAAGTGCCATCTGAAATGCTGCTTTCAGAATCACCAAGAGGTTCACTGCACAATTTCTATATTCTCGAGTGAGTCAAATCGGCATTATTTCAAGATGGATTTCATTCTCGGAAACAGAAAAACGTCGGCTAAAGCCAGAATAGTGAGACTGCGGTATCACAGTTTTGCGGTTTTCGCCACATTCTCGGTTACAAGGTCGAGGCATGCGCCCTCGCGTTGTCATAGTAGAGTTTGAATTTTCGATCCTTCCACAATTCATTGTCTTTTCGTTCTCACATCATGCCGTATCCTCTCCAAAATTTCTACATAGTATTCTTTATTAACTGTTCGTCTTTTCGGGATGTATTCATAATAAATGAGCCCCTCGGAACTATTCAGTTCCCGCTGTCCCACGGGTCGCTCTCTCTGCCCCACATTGGGCTGCATCTCCCGCCTGCCTAGCACAGTGCATTACCCGCCAACCTGCGCGGGCACAATACAGCAGAAAGGATGGAACTCCTAACTGCAAAAGTGATTTCATGAATGGTTGGACATGAAGATGACAGTAGAACACGTCGCGAGAATTCGGGCGCAGATTGTACTTCTCCTCCATTCGTCACATAAATTTTACTGTCCTTTGCCAAAAATAAAACAAGATTTAAAAAAAAATGCTTCAGCCGCTAAGATCATTGTTTTCGTTAGCAGTGCGTCGCTTGTCCTGCTGTCGCAGGTTCGTCAGCCCCGAGGCGCGGCGGGCGACACGACAGCAAAGTCCGGTCTTTTTTTGAACACAACTTGAATATCATCCCCCGAACCACACGTGCGAATTAATACACTTCACGCCATTATCATTCTGGTATCTGCTTCGCTGCCCCTACGGCGGGAAGGTAGGGGGGGGTGCGTTCTCATGGCCACACTTTATTGCTTCGTCGCTGCTCAACCCGCTCCTGGTAGCGCCTCTCGGAACTACTCAGTTCCCGCTGTCCTGCGGATGATGCCGCACTCTCTGCCCCCGCATTGGGCCACATCTCCCGCGTCCCGAGAACACTATCGCCCGGCTCACCTGCGCGGGCACAGTTCTGGGCACACAGCAAGAAGGATGGGATTTCTAACTGCAAAAGTGATTTCATGAGTGGTTGGACTCTAAGGCCACCTTCCCACGCCGCCACGGCAGCGCGCGTCCGTCAAGGGGCAGGGCTCTTCGCCGACCCTCCGGCGACGACGGACAAAGGGACCGCAGCAGGTACCTTCTTCTGTCCCTTTGTCCGT